GTGTTCAAGCACCATATCTCTCCACTTGCTACTGATTTCTAGTACAAACAATTATTAAGGCCATTATTAATCTGTACATCGTCCCCATTTGACATTTTTATCTAAATATCTTCCTGCATTCAATGGACAACATCTTACTTTACAGTGACCATGTGATACACAAACACACAATCGTTAGTTTGCATTCTTGGCCAAAAAACCAGTATAATGTTTTGTATAATAGGCCAAAATGTTTTCACTTAGCCAGAAACAACAGAGTCCTTGCTAACTTAGTTAAGTAAGACGAGAGCCCTGCATAGTAGGCCAAGAAGTGAGTTCTGGCTATTAGGTACGACATATATATATATATATATATATATATATATATATATATATATATATATATATATATATATATATATATATATATATATAACTGAAAACTCACACCCCAGAAGTGACTCGAACCCATACTCCCAGAAGCAACGCAACTGGTATGTACAAGACGCCTTAATCCACTTGACCATCACGACCGGACATAATGAAGTGATAGCCGAGGCTATTTGAACCACCCCACCGCCGGCACTCGGATAGTAATCTTGGGCATAGCATTTTACCAAATCACCTCATTCTTTGGGGCACACGTGAGGAACACAAATGCGAACAAGCCTGAATGGTCCCCAGGACAATATGCAACTGAAAACTCACACCCCAGAAGTGACTCGAACCCATACTCCCAGAAGCAACGCAACTGGTATGTACAAGACGCCTTAATCCACTTGACCATCACGACCGGACATAATGAGGTGATAGCCGAGGCTATTTGAACCACCCCACCGCCGGCACTCGGATAGTAATCTTGGGCATAGCATTTTACCAAATCACCTCATTCTTTGGGGCACACGTGAGGAACACAAATGCGAACAAGCCTGAATGGTCCCCAGGACAATATGCAACTGAAAACTCACACCCCAGAAGTGACTCGAACCCATACTCCCAGAAGCAACGCAACTGGTATGTACAAGACGCCTTAATCCACTTGACCATCACGACCGGACATAATGAGGTCTCTTCGTCTTCTGCTTTCTCGTTGTCAGTCTTCCTTTGTGGTTGTTGTTGACTCTCGTAGTGCCCTCATGGCTCTCGGGTCCTTTAATCCGGTTCATCCAGTAGTTGTCGAGATCCAGCATTGGCTGTTTCTCGTTCACAGTAAATTTAAGTCGGTTGAGTTTTGTTGGGTTCCCAGCCATATTGGTGTGTCTTTAAATGAGCGTGCGGATGCTGCCGCTAAGGAAGCTGTCCGCTCTTGTCCCATCTCTCGTAAAGGCATTCCGTATTCCGACTTTTACCCGGTTATCCATTCCTCAGTCCTTACCCGTTGGCAGGCTTCTTGGTTGTCTGTTACTGGTAACAAGCTACGTACTCTTAAATGTTGTGTTTCCTCGTGGCCGTCCTCCTTCCACCGAAACCGGCGGTGGGAAACAGCTCTGGCGAGGTTGCGAATTGGCCATACTCGCTTAACCCACGGTCACTTGATGGAGCGCCGCCCTGCTCCTTATTGTCCTAGTTGCATTGTCCCTCTTACGGTCGTGCATGTCCTTCTTGAATGTCCTGACTTCCAGGACGAGCGTGTGTCTTGCTTTCCGACCGCCCCTCGCGGTCGCCTGTCCCTCGATAGAATTCTTGGTGACTCGGATACTTTTGATATCGTTCGCCTTATGCGTTTTTGTTCTCGTATTGGCATCCTTGGTGATATTTAGCGCCCTCTGATTATTTTGCGTATTTGATGGTGCTACATAGCCTTCCCGGTTTGGTGCCTTCTTTTGATAATTACTTACTTACTTTGTGGTATGTTAAGTTCTCACACCCTCACCCATTATGTTCTTGAGTGTCCGGTGATTAATGAATATAGAAATACTGAGATAAGGACTGTGCCTGAATATTCTGGAGAGATAAAAGAATTTTGCACCAAGATTGAAACTTTGTTCAATTGTCTGAATGTCTATTGCAAATTATCTGTGTACCTAATCATAAACGTATTTGGTTGTACGTCTGGTAACATAATGCATGTGTAAAGGAAGAAATGTATATGTGTATCATTAAGAATGTTCAGTATGTGCTTATTGATTGTGATGAGTGTCTGTCATCATCCCGTCTCCCATCAACCTTGCCTCCCAACAGCCCTGCCTCCCACCAGCCCTGCCTCCCACCAGCCCTGCCTCCCACCATCCCTGCCTCCCACCATCCCTGCCTCCCACCATCCCTGCCTCCCACCATCCCTGCCTCCCACTAACGCTGCCACCCACCAACTATGCCACCCACCAACCCTGCCTCCCAACAACTCTGCCACCCACCAACCCTGCCTCCCACCAACCCTGCCTCACACCAACCCTGCCTCCCAACAGCCCTGCCTCCCAACAGCCCTGCCTCCCACCAATCCTACATCCCACCAACACTGCTTCCCACCAGCCCTGCCTCCGACTAACGCTGCCACCCACCAACTCTGCCACCCACCAACTCTGCCACCCACCAACCCTGCCTCCCACCAGCCCTGCCTCCCACCAGCCCTGCCTCCCACCAGCCCTGCCTCCCACCAGCCCTGCCTCCCACCAGCCCCAACACCAAGCTGCTGCTGCTGCTTCTTTTTCAAGGCTGTAGGTGGTTTGTTGCTTGTGGCGGCTTTCTTGGGAGTTACCACGGCCTTCTTTGCTGCTGTAGATGATTTCTTGGTTGTGGTGGCTTTCTTGGGAGTTAGAACGGCCCTCTTCTCTGCTACGGCCAGCTTGAATGATCCACTAGCTCCACTTCCCTTGGTCTGAACAAGAATGCCGTCAGCCACTGCTTTCTTGAGAAATCTTCCGATGTAAATGGCGATCTTGGCATCCTCGATTTTGTTGTTGGCAACAACGTACTTCTTGATTGCTTGTAGAGACGAGCCCTTACGGTCTTTGAGTGCTGCGACCGCGGCTAGAACCATTTGACTAGTTTTCGGGTGAGCAACCTGGACGCGAGGTTTCCTGGTGGTGGCCACCGCAGCAGCAGCAGCCGCAGCCTTCTTGGTAGGCTTTGCTTCTACCATGATGATGATGAACCAACCAAGGTGATGAGAGACGCTCAGACAGTCACGGGGGAATGATGCTGCCGCCGCTTGAGCCGAACCTATTTATGTGCCGGCACGGTACAGAAGCTGCAACCTGGCAACTCGTCCACCAATCACGACGGTTGATTTTACGGCTCCGAAACCTGGATCCCATATCTTCTCTAAAATAGAAGCATTTGTTCATGTTCTTTGTAAAAGTATCATAAAGCAGGACAGATGAGACAAATATCATAAAAACTGAAGAGCAGCAGATGAGCACACACATGTATGTATTACAAAAGAAAATCCACAAATTCATTAGAAATTGGCAGGGCAGGCTGAGGAAGTAGATAGATGTAAAATGTCTGTAAATGGCGAAAGAACATAAACCCAAGACTGAATAAACGATGTTAAATATCCATGCCAAGGAGACAAAAATATGTTAGGATACAATTACCATTAAGACACCACAAGCAGGTCCGTATCCTGCCGTGATGACTAAAAAGAGTTGGTTATTAGCCACAATGTGTAGGCAGTCTCTTGCCAACGGCCATACCACGTTGAGAACACCGCTTCTCGTCCGATCAGCGAAGTTAAGCAACGTTGGGTTTGGTTAGTACTTGGATGGGTGACCGCCTGGGAACACCAAATGCTGTTGGCAATAATGTTTTTTGTTTTGTTTCGTTTGTTTTTGTTTGAATGGCTGGCTGGCTCCACGGGAAATTCACGGAGTTGTGTGGAACAAGGCCTGGTAAAATGAATTAATATGTATGTCATGTTTAAAACAAACTCGCTTAATATAGATATTGTGTGAGGCTTTATACAAAAACAAACAACCAAAACAAAACATGTTGTATATATATATAGCTTAATCCGGGTTTGAACTCGCAACTCCAAGAATACGCATCACTTATACACTTTACCACTGGACCACAGCTGCAGGACACTTGATGCTGAGGTATCAATTTAATGACGTAAATGCCATTTCCACAAATAAATGATAATTAAAAAGTATTTGTAGGTACAAATCTTTTCTGTTTAAAAGGCTACAATATCAGTTACTGATATAATTGTGTTAATGTTTCTATACCCACAGGAAGGCATATTTTTGCTTATATGTAAGGGGTACGGAGAAGGAATCCACAGACCATCATTCCCTCCCCCCCCCCTCCCACCTACTACCACCACCACCACCACCAATCACCACCAATCACCACCACCACACCTAACCGAAAAACCCCTAACACATCAACCCTCCCCCCAATCAACAGGCGAAATAATAACCCTCAAATGCCTGCCTGCCTGCCTGCCTGCCAGCCAATACTAACGGTCTTCTCAGAAAGAAAATCTCTTTGTATCTGTATTACTTGATGAAATGTATGATTCTAATAATGAAAATAAATTGTTATGTCGGTTGTATGAGCATAATGACCAATATGCACATGATATGAATGAATTAAATAGTGTAGTTTTAAGTAATTAGGTTGTAGACACATTAAGCGGATATGATATTTGACGCGTCCAGAACTGGTGATTTTTGGTTTAGTTTTAAATGCACCACCACCACCACCACCATTGCTTCCCCAGAGCCTAATTAAGGACCGGTAAAAGGAGTCAATATGTATGTCATCTATAAGACCAAAGAATGAATAAAAAAAACACACACACAAACCTACATAATAGTATTAGGAAGATTGTATGGCAAAAAAAAAAAAAAGTATTATTCCCATTGGGTCGTTTGAACTCGCGACTTCCAAAACACCAGCCACACACCTTACCACACAGCCACCATGGAGTTAGTATAAATGTGCAACTTTAGTTATAAAAGTAAAGTTTTCTCACATTGTATTGATAACTTAAAGGATTTTTTTTTTCCATGTGCAAATCTTATTGTCTGTTCTATGAAAAGGCTTGATGTAAATTATGTATTTTTTGAATGATTGAATTGTAGGCACATTAAGCAGATTCGATATTTGATATATCCAGAAAAGGTGATTTCTGTTCAGTTTTAAAATGCATCACCGTTAACGCTAAAGGACTGGTAAAACGACTCGATGTTTGTCATTTTTAAAATAAACACTAAAACTAGGCCCTTAACATATATAATGTTTGAATATAAATTGAATGCATATAAATACAAAGTGGGAGTGGCTGGCTGGCTGGCTGGCTGGCTGGCTGGCTGGCTGGCTGGCTGGCTGGCTGGCTGGCTGGCTGACTGGCTGGCTGGCTGGCTGCCTGCCTGCCTGCCTGCCTGCCTGCCTGCCTGCCTGCCTGGCCTGGCCTGGCCTGGCCTGGCCTGGCCTGTCCTGTCCTGTCCTGTTATTGCCTTGCCTTGCCTTGCCTTGCCCTGCCTTGGCTGCAGCTGGCTGGCCTTAAGTCAACTCTCAACAACACCACACCATCACTCATCACCCACCACCGGCCCCAGTCTCCCAGCCTCTCTTATATACCCGAGCAGGCCCTTTAAATTATTTGAATTGTTGCACTGCAGCCAATGGCACGATCGCTGCTGCTCAAACATATTCTGGTTCACAAATATATATAAATATATATATATATATATATATATATATATATATATATATATATATATATATATATATATATATATATATATATATATATATTCATGAAACACATTAAAATCTTGATCATTTATTCATTCATTACGTCTAGTGAAGAATTGCTTTTGTTCATTTGTATGATTAAAAATTGATAGAATATGAATTCCTCGCTCCAACCCACAGCTCACGAGCACACTGACCCCCACTGAGCTTATGGAATCACAGTGATTGGCACAAAACACGGGACTGTCAGTAGATAGTGAGTCACAATGGCTCACTGTCTACGGATGACCTACACTGGGAATACACCCATAGACACTATTGACTGCATCACTACCTTCTACAATGCCACTGGCACACTAGCCACTAACCATATCAAACACGCCAACACAAACACCATCAAATTTCTCATTGCCTCAGAAGACGACCTTTTTGCCTGTTTCAAGGAACCTACTTTCAGTAAACTCACACAAGCTCCACTGACTCCTGTTCTCACTATTGAACAAAAAACTAAATGCTCTGTCCTTGTAAGAAATGTCGACAGCTCTGTCCTTTCAGCACCTAATACTATCAATCTCTCTCAAGACATCTCTCACAATAATGCTATTACTGTAATGGAGATATACCCGGTGCCCAATACAAAACACCTCAAGATCCAATGTTCTTCCCCTACAGAAGCTCAAAAACTCTTGCACCATGGAATTAAAATCCTCAACACCAGCACTCCTCCCTATCTCATTAGTCCAGTTGACTATCTTCCTTTACTACAATGTTTCAAATGTTATAAGTATAATCACGAAACAAGAAAATGTAAAAGCCCACAAATTTGCTCCAAATGCTCTGCTGAAGGTCATTTCTATACTCAGTGCTCTGCCCCTATCTTAAAATGCACCAATTGCCAAGGTGCTCACTCAGCAGTTGACAAATCTTGCCCTTTGAGAAAGCAAACCCTAAAATCTCTTCGCAATAACCAACCTCGCACTCAAGCACACCCTCATTCCTCTTCTTCAACCTCCCATAACTTATCTCATCACCAAACAGCATCAGCCACCTCAATGTCCTATGCCAGTGTCCTTAATGCTTCACCTCACCAGCAACATCATCATAATACTGCACAACAAACTCAGTCCTCTCCACCTCTCTTCCCTCACCCACCACCTCCACCTTATTCTCCTCTTCAGAACCTTTCATACGAACGAGTCACTGCCTGTGTACAAGCTGCTTACTTGAAGGCCAAGGACGATGGCCGTGACTTTGCTGACTATCTTCCAATCTTTCTCACTCATAACGGCCTTCCTAGTATCTCTGTTCCTCCTACTCAACTATTGCGCTCTGCTCCATTCTCGCCTACAGTCCTCACTCCACAAAACACCATGACTTCAGCTGAAGAAAATACTATAGTTCCCCCACAACGTCCTACCAACCCACTCCTGACTGCTACAGAAAACGGTGCCACTGACCAAACAGCACATCCTGGACTATCCCAAACTGAAGCATCCATGTCAAAGGCACTTTCAACCTCTTCTCCCAACATTGTCCTCTCCACTTCCAATCTGACTTCAAACACTACAACCTCTGATACCTCTCACCCGGTCCCTGTCAACAAGCCTTCTGCCTCCTTTCATCCCCCAACAACTTCAGTCATCTCTTCTGTAACTCATCTCGTCTCGTCCCGAGCCCGTTCAGCAACCCGTTGTCTTACTCCCACTTCCCGCTGTAAATATCCTACAATTCCTACCACCCTCCTCAGTAACTGCCCAAGTCATTGAATCACGCAAACCTCATGCTCTTGTACATGCACAAAACCCCACCAGCACCCCATCAAAACCTAAAAATTCATAAAGATCATACAATTTAATGTGCGGGCATATTTCAACATTAGACACATGGTGTCAGATTTTATTGAGATCGAGAGACCTGATGTGCTATTATTAAATAGCACATACATTACGAACTCATATAAAATCAAACATTATGGCTACTCCTCTTACCAGTCACCAGATGAAGCACATGAAGGAGTTGCAATACTCATCCGTTCTTCATACAAACATGAACTCTTACACACTCATTGGCTTCACAAACATTTCCTAGCCATCAAAGTTCACACACAAATGGGTTCTCTCATCATCTGCACAACCTACACCCGTCCTAACACCGGCATTCCCATGCAAGATTTCATAACTCTCTTCAACCACACTCACTTGCCTGTTTTTCTGCTTGCAGACCTCAATGCACTTCATCCCACATTCCACCACAATACCTCAAATCAGCATGGCACACAGCTTCACCAAATATGCACTCAAAAACATCTATTCTTTCTTGGCCCTGACTTCCCCACTGTTTTCAATCATTTAGGTTCTGGGAGACCTGATCTCATATTCACCAACAGACATGGCAGCAACTTGCAACACTTCATTTCACCAGGGCCCATTACGGGCTCTGATCATATTCCCTTAATTCTCACAGTCTCCACAAATCCTATTCCCATCCCCAGTACTCCTCAATTCTCATACCCTAGGGCAAACTGGGACATGTTCAAACAACACATAGATGACACTG